TTCTAATAACAAATACCCATGTAACTTCTTACATGAACAAAGCCGAGACCGCGGGTATAGTTATTGCTGAGTAAAGATAATATTTAATGTTTGATTTCTCAACTCTCAATTTTAAAAAAATATATCAGCCATCTTTATAGAAAATTACAAAGGGCAACAAAAAAAAATCATTTTCTTGTTTCATTATGTGAGCACTCGATAATTATTTTTCTTGATTTAATTCGCATGAATGTATCTTCCGGTGTAGGTACTTTATGATTGCTTACTGACAATTAATAATTAATTATAAATCTCGAATAGTAATTAATCCGAGCTTAAGTAAATCAAAAGTAAAGTAATTACTAAGACTGGTAATAAAAACAATTACAAGAGCAACTACTTAATTTAGTTAATTCGTTTTGATTAATTAATACCATCATTTGGATCTAAAATAAAATGTTTGCTTTAACTGTAATAAGCAAATTGTTTTCCGTTGTAAATTTTTAAATCACTCTCAAAAATGATCATTATGGAACAATTAAAATTATTTTCTAGTTATCGTCTAGCTTACGTAAATAGGTGATTACATTAAAACGTGGATGGAACATTTCACATAACTTTTTACCGTATTTAATAACTTAATTGCTTATCAATTAACTGAATAGAGTAGGTAACTTTACTTAATTTATTTAAAATACATCATTTAATTTTAATCTCGCTATTATATTAACGCCTGACTTCAAAGCTAGTTGATTAGAGTAACATTGAAAAGAACCATTGCTATGAGCAGTTTTGTAGGATCCTTTTTGCACAGCGATTGGTTACTCTGTAATACGATACTTTAGATATTACTTTATGTCATCCCAGGCTTATGAAAAAAGGTTTTTTTATCCAAGCCCATTTCATTAATCCAATTCCATTCCATATATACTTAGAAGATTTTGTTTTTATATTAATACCTATCCGTAATCCATACTGATAGCCTTACAAATGGGAAAGTGAGTTTGTCTATTTATTCAGCTTCTACATCTTAATTATTCAACCGATCCCAAGATCGGACCAATCCTTTTATAGGTATGCATTTACAGATGTACGAAAATCCCATAGAAGTACCTACGTTACATCAAAACCAACAAAAATCCGGGTCGGCTAATTTTTCTAGAATAAAAGCGAGGAAACCGTGTTTGAAATCTTGCTCTTCAATAATCAATTAAGGCTGCCTTATGATAAAATGATAGAGATAAGATCGATATAGTTATCGAAGTCCAACCAAATCCACTTGACAGCATTTTGTAATTGAATATGCAATTTCGAAAAGGGCACATGTCGCATATTTTGTCAAATACGTTTTTTCATATACATGTAGTTTTGAGGCTTACCTGCACCCGTTTTATACTAATTCCAGTAATTTTCAATTGCTAATTAACACTAAAATATATTTCAAAAGTTAATATTTTAAATTTTAGACTGCTTTAGAAAATAATCAGTTTTTTTTTTATTTCCTGAACATTTTACATTTTCAGAGATGTGCACTTTTCGAAATTTCATATTCAATTAAACTATCTCTTTATCTATTCATTGACGTTACCTAGTATTTAGGTACGTAGTCAGATGAGTTATAGCAGACCACCTTGTGTTAAGTAGGATTTATGAAAATTTCAAGTTTTCTTGTATTAGGATAACGATAGCATATAAGCGATAATAACGAATAGACCGGTAATATTATTATAATCGCTAACTGCCTTTACGGTTTCGTATCGCGTTTTTGTTATTTGTTATTTTATTATTTCCGACATTTCGATAACTTACCAGTTATCGTAGTCACGAACGAATATTATCAACATGTCCATTAACGGTGCTTTTAGGTACCACAAGCACCGGTCACCGTCCTCGTCGAACCAGTAATTTGCGACGAAGGGCTCGACGAGCGAATTAACCCATAGACACAGCCCACTGAGTTTCTCGCTGGATCTTCTCAGTGGGTCGCGTTTCCGATCCGGTGGTAAATTCTGCGAAGCACTGCTCTTGCTAGGGTCAGTGTTAGCTTCCCTCCGGTTTGAGCCCCGTGAGCTCATCTACTAGTTAAGATTACGCTGAAATAGCCTCTCAAGGCTATCAGCTTAGGTAGGAAAAAAAAACAACATTTGAATATTGTCAAGAATAACCTAGTACTCGGTTCTGCATTCTAACAACATATTATAGTCGTGCCGATCACTTCATACGATTTGACAAAGTAAAAACACTGGCGACAGTAGTTACAACGGCTGCCCCACCCTTCAAACCGAAACGCATTACTGCTTGACGGCAGAAATAGGTGGGGTGGTGGTACCTACCCGCGCGGACTCACAAGAGGTCCTACCACCAGTAAGAGGTCCTACCATGTAACGACATGTTCATCTTCAAAGATGGCTTGGGAAAGTTCTTCTTAGGAAGCCGAAGTTTCGCTGAGCCTTGGGCGTTGCTTAGCATGGTAAGACGAAGGATCTCTTTATTATATGTCCCTAAAATAATGTCATACAAATAATACTCATGGTGAAATAAATTTGTACAGAGATAACTTTATTTACTGGAAAATACCTTGAAGCCTGCAATCTATGGCGTTTATCAGTTGAATGCAGCATTAGCGAAGTATTTTAATTAATTAAACTAATCCTCACTCAAAATTGCAACACTTATTTGCTTAATTATGTCGCCAGCAAGCACTTAAGATACGTACATCAAATTTTAATATCACCTAAAATTGTGAAAAGGTTCAATACAAAATGTTGTAACTTGATAAGGAACAACACTAAAATTGTCCGGATAAAATTATGTTTTTTTAATTACGCGAAATGAAAACCTTGACGCTTTTGTTTGCAAAATACTTTAACTGAACAAATATGATTCTTTTCCGGAAAACGTTTTAAGTCAATTTGAATACCTACATAGTGTAGTGAAATACGAGAGCATCTTAAAACATTTTTATCTACACACTAGCGACCCGCCCTCGCGTCGCTTCGGAAACATTACATTTTATTATTGATAGTTAAGTCCCGCGATGTTACCCGCGGTTATTGTCATACCACGGGTGAAGCCGCAGGGCGAAGCTAGTCTAAAAAAAGTAGCCTAAGTTACTCCTTATATCATCAGCTACCTGTCAGTGAAAGTCCCGTCAAAATCAGTCCAGCCGTTCCAGAGATTAGCCGGAACAAACAGACAGACAGACAAACAAAAATTATAAAAAATGTTATTTTGGTGTATGTGCCGTATATATATTCATATGCATGTAGTAAAAAGCGTAAATGTAGTAAAAAAATATTACAAACAGATACTACATTTTTATTTATATGTATAGATGTATCTGACGCACACGTAGACCCCGGTCTTCTTAGGAAATCTTCGGAAATGGTTTTTTTTTCCTACCTACCTAAGCTGATGGTCTTGCGAGACCATTTCAGCGTAACCTTAACTAGTAGGTGAGCTCACGGGGCTCAAACCTGACGATGTTGCTAACACGAACCCTAGCAAGAGACATTTTTTGCAGAATCTATCACTGGATCGGAAACGCGACACACTGAGAAGATCCCGCGAGAAACTCAGCAGGCTGTGTCTAAGGGTTAATTTTCTCGCCGAGCCCTTCGTCGCAAGCGACGGGTTCGACGAAAACGATGACCGGTGCTTGGGGTACCTAAAAGGACCGTTATTGGATCGGAAGAATCCGAAAACACGTCGTGTGTTTTGGGCTGGCGAAGGACGTCTCACCTTTCGTCTGGTGCAGGTGCTGACCGGGCACGGATGCTTCGGGAAGTACCTGCGCCGGATAGGGGCTGAGCCGACGACGAGGTGTCACCATTGTGGACACGACCTGGACACGGCGGAGCATACGCTCGCTGTCTGCCCCGCTTGGGAGGTGCAGCGCCGTGTCCTGGTCGCAAAGATAGGACCTGACTTGTCGCTGCCTGGCGTCGTGGCGTCGATGCTTGGCAGCGATGAGTCATGGAAGGCTATGCTCGACTTCTGCGAGTGCACCATCTCGCAGAAGGAGGCGGCGGGGCGAGTGAGGGAAAGCTCTCCTCACTACGCAGAAACCCGCCGCCGCCGAGCAGGGGGTCGGGACCGGGGTCGTATCCGTGACCTGGCCCCCTAAGAGCTAGGGGTCCCACCCGTTTTGTGCGGGGAGGGACCCAGACGAGGGGTGGCGTGCTCTGCACGCTCACCCGCAATAGGAAGCCGGGTGATGGTAGACCGCGTTCCCCCGACCGCTCTGGGGGAAGGTGTAACGCGGCGCCATCAAAGCGGGCTCTCGGCCCGCTGAACGAGGGAACCGGTGGTCGTTTCGCTGGCGGCCACCGGTCCGGCGTCCGTGGGACGGTGGGATGGATGTAATGTGCTCTGCGTCAACCCTGTCCCGCCGTTTCAATAGCCCCGACTGGGCTCCGGCCCGGTCCGAGGTAGGGCGCCGGTTGTGAGCGGCAGGAGTTTTTAGTGAGGTTCAACTCCCACATACCCCACCTGCCGCGCGGGTGGGGATCCGGCGATTTTCTCCTGTGAAAAAAAAAAAAAAAAAAAGATGTGTTTTGGGCGACGTCGACTTTTTACCATTTGGTCCGCAGGATCGGCTATGTAATTTCCGGTGGCCACGATGAAAGGAATCTCGTGTCGCACGAAGAACTGTAACATAAATGTATTTAGTGTATCAGGAACTTCAGATGCTCACATGTTATTTATTTTATATTTCCAATTTTACTTAATAATTTAGGTTCATCGCTAATGTTCATTTCTCATAAATAATCCAAAATATTAATTCAGAATAGATTCTGATATTGAATAAAAGAAAGATTTTTTTATTAAACTTTACAGTGCACATGAAATCAACAATTTCAAAATTGATACATTCAATATTTACCCATCCCATGAGATGATAAGATATATCTATTTGTGCTTAACTAACATCTTGATAAATCATGGGCTACTATAAAACCCATGGTGCCGTGGCTACAATTAGATTAATGTAATTACACTTATCGCCAACGCTGTTTGCAATGAAGAAATTGACGCTTTCATTTTTGGTACTTGCTTTGGTGAGTGACTTTTTTATTGCTTAAACGTGTGAGCTCGTCACGGCCCGCGTGATGTCCGCCAATTCCGCCAACCGCCTTAAATTATGAGTTCTGAGTCTCAGTTTTCTGTCGCACCTTCCAAACCGAAACGCATTACTCGTTCATGGCAGAAATGAGAAGGTTGGTGGTACCTACCCGTGCAGGCTCACATACGCGTATAGTAATTACGTAAATTATAATTACTTCGGTAACACCGCATATTTATTACAAAAGTTATTCATACACCGTGGAAGTAATTTGTGAACATTTGTTAAGTACGTATTTAATTAGAAAAATCGGTACTTGCCTGCGGGGTTCGGACATCGGCAGTCGCATCGCCCGATATGAATGATCCGAGCGTCTTATGTTTAGGTCACGACGACTTTACAAATGAAGTTATTATTATTATTTCTTTTCGGCAGACCTTTTGTCACTGAGAAAGACGTTCAGTATTTGATTCAAAAATAAATAGGAAAAAAAAAATTGTCTCCCCAATTTATCGAAGGGTCATTTTGTCATTACGATTTTTGTATACAAAGTGCTTAAACTAGTTTTGCTTTCATAAAAATAACCGACTATTTTCTTCAGAAACAGACTAACTTTTTCAATTTTAATGATTTGTCCAACAGATTTGTGCAAGTCTTGGCAATCCAGCTGATGCATATCATCCTGCAATTCTCGGACAGCGTGAACTTGACCTATATGGGAATACTAGGTACCTACATTTTGACATGTTATTAAATGATCATTCAATAATTACATTAATTAGCACAGGTTAAGGTGTTTATTGTATTCTAGGCTTTAATAGCGTTACGCAATTTATAAATTTGTTTAATAGCTTGACGTATTGGTGGTCTACACACATTAATACTTTTTTTTACCCTACCTAATCGTTGGTAGCCTAAGGGGTTATTCCAACTTAGGTAGGTGACCGGTAGGTGAGCTCACGGGCTCAACCTGAGAGAATTGCTAACGCATTGCAAGAGCAGTGCTTCGCTGAATCTATTACTGAATCAGAAACGCGACCCACTGAGAAGATCCGGCGAGAAACTCAGTGGGTAAATACCACCATCCTGTCTATTTCTACTGCAAATTGAACACTTTATTTTAGCAAGAGGCTAAGTAAAATAGCAAGGACGAACTCACAGCCCACCTGGTATTAAGTGGTTACTGGAACCCATATACTTCTGCAACGTAAATGCGCCACCCACCTTGAGATAAGTTCTAAGGTCTCAGTATAGTTACAACGGCTGCCTCACCCTTCAAGCCGAAACGCATTACTGCTTCACGGCAGAAATAGGCAGGGCAGTGGTACCTACCCGTGCGGACTCACAAAAGGTCCTACCACGAGTATTAATAGCAGAAGGGAAGGGAAACGTTTGAATACAATTTTATTTCCATCTTTAACACAGTAACTTATACACTTTTGAGATTTAGAAGCGTATTTTTGAGGCCAAAGTATTGCTATAGTAAAACCAAATTACTTCAAGTTAGAGAACAAATTTCGTTCTTAAACATTTGGCCTCGTTTTCTTTTTTACAGGAAACTAATTGAAGACTTCGTGGAAAATCTGCAGAAAGCAACAGACGAAGCCAGAGATGCCATCAATGGGTTCACATCTGGACTACAGGATGAAGCAAAGCAAATCAGGGACAAAATCTCAAACGATATACAGAAAATGCAGGAAAGCGTCACAAACGCTGTAGAAAATATGTCTAATAGATTTACAGATTCTGGATATGGTGTTCGGGATTGTGTAACAGTAAGTTTTTTTTTCTTAATCCTTAAATTTTGATTGTGGAGTAGTTAGGGTTTTTTTTAAAGTGCCTATTATATATAACAAAATAACTATTTGCATTAACATTAATGGTATACAGATGAACCTAATTTTATTCAAACCACATTTCATAGTACCAGTTTGTTCTACGAAGCAATCTATATATATAAAAATGAATTGCTGTTCGTTAGTCTCGCTAAAACTCGAGAACGGCTGAACCGATTTGGCTAATTTTGGTCTTTTATTTGTGGAAGTCCAGAGAAGGTTTAAAAGGTAGATAAATATGAAAATGCTCGGAATTAAATAAACATTACAATTTTGTTTTTCCTTTGATGTGTCCCCCGTCGGACGGATTCCTTTTGTTTGTTTTAAATTTATTTAATATAAAAGTTTAGGTATTTTAATTATCGATTGAGGCACTACGAACTCTGCCGGGTCAGCTAGTAATATAATAAAATAAATTACAGTCGCACAGTAACGACGTTAGTGCCCTGTTTCACGAGGCAATAACAAAAGCAACGAGCTGCGTGAGCGATCGTCTCAAAGAAGCAAACGACCAAATCCTTGGATTCACCGCAATCGTCAACAACGCTGTTCAATCCAGCAGTAAAGCCTTGGATGACATGAGGAAATGTACCCAAGAAGGAAGTTTTCTTACGACGGGCTCGTGTCTTGGATCCGTAGCTCTGAACGCGGAAACCAAACTTGTCAGTTTTACTGCACAGAGTGCTGTAACGGTATGTTTTAAAACATATTCAATATTTTTTCAATTTACAAGTTTATGGTGTGCTTATTAATAAATGCAATAAAGTATGAGTCAACTAAAAGTTACGTGTACATTAAAACTATTGATCAGATTGATTTTTTGATAAGACATCTTGTCCTACTATTTAAGAGTTCTGATCAATGGTCATTAAGCAAAGAACTCATTAAAAGTACCTAAATTATAACAAGGATATTATATCCGCAGAAAAGAACTGGAACAATAAGTTTACCCAAAATTGCTAGCTAACTACTACGACAAACCGAAAGCGCTAATCAATTTTATATAGGTAAATTCAATATAATTTTAGGAAATATTAGTTCGCTGCTTATTACGTACCTATTTATAAGAAGAAAAGTATATATGAAGCATTTTCCGTTACTTAACTTACACATTTAATTTTTTTTATTTCTTAGATGGGCGGACGAGCCGACAGCCCACGTGGTGTTAAGGGGTTACTAGAGCCCATAGACATCGACAACGTAAATGCGCCACCCACTTTGAGATATAAGTTCTACGGTCTCAGGTATAGTTACAACGGCCACCCCACCCTTCAAACCAAAACGCATTACTGCTTCACGGCAGAAATAGGAGGGGTGGTGGTACCTACCCGCACGGACTCACAAGTGGTCCTACTACCAGTAATTACAAATTAAAAGCAAATTATAATTTTGCGGGTTTGATTTTTATTACACGATGTTATTCCTTCATCGCGGAAGTCAATCGAGAACATCTGTTGAGTACGTATTTCATTAGAAAAATTGGTACCCGCCTGCGGGATTCGAACACCGGTGCATCGCTTCAACACGAATGCACTGGACGTCTTACTTATCCTTTAGACCACGACGACTTCAGATAGATATTGTTGCATTTATTAGTGATACAAATTTATTATTGTATTATACATATGAGTTATCGTTGTATATTTATTGTATTTGTGTATGTAGGATAGTGAAAAATTACAGAGTTGGCTAACATTCAAGTTAAGCTGAACTAAAGTTCTTCTTCGACATCTCTTTTTCATTTATCTAAACATATTATACATATACAAAATTGAATTGCTTCAGACTGCTCGCATCAGCTTGGGAATAGCATCGCTGCCAGCATCATTAGAGGTCTGCGCAGCAACAAGCCTTGTCGAAGCTGGTATAGCCACGTCTAGGATATTGATGGAAATCGGTGGATGCTCAGCCAATTCCGTGTTCACATCTCTCTTCGGAGGCTCTTCTCACACTGCAGTACCAAACGTACTGCCCTCTGTTAATAATTTATTGAACTAAATTGCTGTCAATGTTAAAATCTAATAGAAAAATGATCAATAAAGAATACATATATATAGTTACATTCTCTATTTTGGTTCACCTATTCTGTACTGAAGTTAATTTATAAATCTACGTTAAAATTTACAAAAAAAACATTTTTTTAATTCTAACTAAAGACTGATAAATCTAAAGTAGGTATTATAAAATATTTTGAACAAAGCTCACTTAAGGTTTGTTCAAATCTGGTCTATAAAATGACTAGTTCCACTTAATACTACTCATGTTGATTTTGAAAATGCTGAAAACTTTACTGCTTATTGTCAAGTTATTAGTAATAGATATTATTATATGTTATTATATAATATTGGTAATGGGTAAAGGTACATAATTTTGTAACTACAATTAATGTCTTTTTTTGTTTTAAATATAACTTGTTTAAAAAGACATTATGCCATCGACGTATTCGGATAAGACTTTCCAAATAATAAACTAATTTTGCAGAATGGAAGGTGGTTAGACCTGAAATTTGAATCACAGACAGTGGAGAAGACCGAAAATCCAGGAAAAATAATTTTCACACTCGCAAAACAAGATCCGCAATTACGTGGCATACAAGATATTTGGAATACAATTAAGAACAGTATTGCTAATGCTTGGAATTTCGTAAAAGATTTGGCTAATCATACAAGGCAAAAAGTTCTTGAATGGATAGAAAATATCAAAAAACGTGCCGAAGAAATAACCATAAGCTTCAAAGAAAAATTAGGTAAACTTAAAGAAAAAGTTTACGAAGTCATCGAAAAGGTATTCGGTAACAGCGAAACTGTTAGAGCATGCATCGAAGTAAGTATTCTCCAATATTTTACGGAGATATCTATGTATACTGCATTCACATAATTTTACTTATTCAACATTTTATTTCAGGGTGAAAAAGACGTCATAAAAAATAGTTTCACAAAACTAATCTCGGACGCAACTGTTTGCATATCTCACGGCTTAGGAGGGCTTACAATTTTAAATGCTACGAAGTATACAGTCAATGAAACACAATTTTTAGGAACCGTGGAAAACAAATTTAAAATGTGCGAATTAAGTGAAAATTTAGAGGAATGCTTGAACAAAGTAAGGACAGATGTATTTGATGACGTACAAAACATTGAAGTTAATGTTTTAAACAAAGTAAGTACACATCTTATAACTACCCCAAAAAACAATCCAAATCGCAGCGTTTCGAAGACTATAATTTATGTTTTATCTTGTTTTAGAGAACAGAAGCTAGAAACATCGTCGATAACCTTTTAGAAGCAATAAGTACGTGTTCAGTAAATGGCTTAGCGGAGGCATCATCTATAGTTACGAAAGAAAGTCTCATAATAGCAAAGTGTATTTTGAATAATTCTACAGAACCAAATCCTGTATTGTGAAACTAAGCTTTATCACCAAATTTTACAAATAAAATGTGAGTTCATCTTGTAATCGTTTATTCTTCAACTTATAATCGTTGTAAATTCGATTAATTTCATTTTTAACCCTTTTGATGATTATTTTAAGGTCTGCCCTAACGCGGGCACATAGCATGACGTCCACCATCTACAGGTATTGTGACTCCGGTAATGTTACTTGCCGAATCACTAGCTAAAAACGTTATGACAGATGACACTTCTTTTGTCTCCCCAGGTCTTCCGAGAGCATGAGTGCTTTTGCATTTCTCCAAATAGATCTCATATTCTTGCTGACTCATGGAACCTTTTAAATGAATGCCGGTTAAAATGACGCCCGGATTAACGGCATTGACTCTGATCCCTTTTGGTGCTAGTTCAAGGGCAACACAACGTGTGTATTGATCCAGCGCTGCTTTAGAAATGCAATATGCTAGAACGTTAGGAAACGATCGTAATCCTGCTACACTAGAAACGTTTACTATACTGCCTTTGGTTTTAACAAGATATGGAGTGGCAAGCATAGTTAATAAGTACGGTCCACGTACATTTGTGTTCATAACAGAATCATATTGATCTAAAAAAGTATTCTCAATTGAGCCGGCAGCGAGTATTCCTGCATTATTCACAAGAACATCGAGCTTATTGAACTGATTAATAGTTTTGTCGATAATATTTTTAATATCACTCTCCTTAGTGACATCAGCTACCACCACAAGAGGTTTTAACTTATTGGGTGAAACGTGTTCGCATTCTGCACTAATTTTTTCCAAGTTCTCTTTATTTCTTGCAGTTAATACCAAATTTGCTTCTAATTTTGCGAAGTCTAAAGCTGTTTCGGCACCGATACCAGAGCTTGCACCCGTAATTAATACGACCTTGCCCGAAAACATGACTAATTACCTGAAAATCCGAAGTGCTATATTAGGCATTTTTTCTATTTACGTTTTTTTCTTTTCTTTGGGTGTTATGAATAATCACATTTATTTATTTCAAATTTAATATTTTTGTGGACAATGAGTCCTCAGTTATTTATGTACCTAATTGCCGTAAGCGTTGCAAGCCCTTGATTATATATTGTGCAAATCAGAAGAACTGGGGAATTCATATTTTTAAGAACATAAATTAAAATTTCAAAAAATGCATTGAAACGTTAAAAACCCGGACATGTCATGTCCACCAACAATATTCACTGTATTTTTTAAAGTATACTTTCCAGAACTATGTCCACGAATTAACTCAAATATATGACAACCCCACAGAAGCCTGGAATAAATCACTTAACCAAGAAAGACTGCCGGATCCACAAGCACTAGCGTCTCTTTCGTACTTACTATACTTAACTCTAGTATCTACTTCTAACATTACTTGTTGAAATTTTATATATTTAAATACAATGTGAAAAACTACCTGCATTGTTTCTTGAGCTCGATAAAACAGAGGGAAATAGCTGTCAGTCGCGGATTAAAAGACAAAGTGTATGCTTTAAGAGTTTATTCTCCATTACATTTAGATATCATAAAGGAATGTTTACATTCATTTAAAGTTTATTTCCATTGTATTTCCTTTTTATCTAGGACACATGGCATGACGACCTCCATCTACAGGCAAAGTGGCACCAGTAATGTTGCTTGCAGCATCACTAGCTAAGAAAACGATGACTGAAGATACTTCTTTGGCATCCCCAGGTCTGCCGAGAGCGTGTGTCTCTGCGCATTTTGCCAAAAAAGCTTGATATTGTTCTTCGTTCATACTTCCTTCGCCTTTTTTATGTAAACCAGTCGCAATCACCCCAGGGTTGACGGCATTCACGCGAACTCCTTTCAATGCTACTTCTAAAGCCACACATCTTGTAAACTGATCTATTGCCGATTTAGAAATGCAATACGCTAGGACATTAGGGAAAGATCTCAAACCAGTAACACTGGAAACGTTGACGATGTTTCCTTTAGTTTTAATCAAATGCGGAATTGCCAACATCGTCAAATAATAAGGTCCGCGAACATTAGTGTTCATTATTCTATCGTATTGAGCCAAAGATGTTGTTTCTATGGTACCAGATTCCAAAACACCAGCATTATTTACAAGCACATCCAATTGATGATAGTTATCAACAGTTTTTTTGATTATATTCTCGACATCGCTCTCATTATTCATATCAGCCACGACTACCAACGGTTTTATTTTACTGGGAGATCGACTTTCACAATCGGATGCAACATTATCAAGATTTTCCTTTTTTCTCCCAGTTAAAACCAATTTTGCATTCAATTTGGCGAATTCATATGCAGTTTCAGCGCCTATTCCTGAACTTGCTCCCGTGATGATTACAACTTTATTAGCGAACATTTCTGTACACCTAATCAAGAAAATAAGGACCATTATTTCCTTTTTATCTAGTTATTTTAAATTAAAAAGAAAATTGCAATTGCAAAAAACAAACCTTCTAAAATATATAGTCAATAAGAGTTAAAACAGCGTTAAAATATCGGAAACTGATTAACGCTAAAAAAAGTTAAATAAGTGTTATATTATATTTTGCATTTTTTATAGAACATTTTGTCTTTGTGAAGCTTACAAACGGCGCATTATACAAACTACTGTCGGTCGCTCGTTTAATAGGAATCGATAGGAATTATTTCATTTAATAGGTAAAAACGAAATAAGGGATTTTTTTGAGATCTACCCTTAAATGCTGTTTTGGGTATAGTTTTTTATTTTATTTTAAAGCCCTGCGTCTTATTACAAACAGTGGAACAGCAATAGCTAATATTCATAATAAAAAGGAGGATGAAATAGTATGCCACGATACTTCAAAAGCGGTCCAACTAACATTACATTTTATCACACTGAACGAAGGTCAGAACATCACGCGACCGACACGACAGATGTTAACAATAAAACATGATTGTGAATTGAATTAAAATATATACATCCAAACGAGCACGTTAAGAAACAAAATTAAAACACCGTACATTAAATTACGCGACAAAGGTTCTGTATCAGTCATTTGGATGATAAACCTAAACTGATTTCTCAAAAGCTTTACTCGTCTGGACAAAGAATTGCGTTTCAGCAAGTAAAGGCCCACAATCCATTCAATATGCCGTTCGTGAGTATGTGTTAAATATTAGGCAATTCATGTTAACGAAATATTGGAACTTATTCGCATTGAATCACATGATACGAGTTAGTTGGAGCGCATGATACGAATATATCGGGTGTTTTAACATTTATATTCTGCTTCTCAGTTTGTTTAGTAATAATTTATGGACTTATCATTCGGATCCTACTATACGTGTCTTCTGATCGTTCCTCGAGGGGTTATTCTAGATTCACCAAACTAGTAGGTGAGCTCGCGGAACTCAAACCTGACATTGTTACTAACACGAACCCAGCAAAAGCCGTACTTCGCAGAATCTACCACCGGATTGGAAGCCCGTCCCACTGAGACGATCCGGCGAAAAACTCAGTGAGCTGTGACTGTGGGTTAATTTACTTGCCGAGCTCTTCGTCGCAAGCGACGGGATCGACGAGAACGATGACCGGTACTTGGGGTCCCTAAAAGCACCGTTAGTGGATCGGCAGGATCCGAAATGACGTGTTTGGGCAACGTCGACTGTTTACCATTCGGTCCACCACCTACTTAAAATCAACATCGCAAGTCTAATTAAAAGTTTAATAATCATTTTTCTTACATCTTGCTCAAGATATTAGGCTGAAGGAATAAAATTTACAATTGTCATGAAGCCTTGATACGTATGTAAAAAATCAAAGTTAATCGGTCGTTTGCATGTTGGAGAAAGTTATGTGAAGATATTCCGCAACATGTGATAGATCCCTGGTCAGTAACGCTAAGACCAACTTTTTTTTTCGAATAGTATGTAGCTTGTATAGTGAAATGACTGGCTTCGTTGACGACCTAGAATAGCCTATGTAGGGTTCGTAAATAACGACCAAAAGATTCACCAGACAATGGGCAGTAGTAATACCTAAGTAGTATAACAGCGCCACAATCGCCAATCAGCATTCACTGATGGCAAGACTCATTGGAAATACGCAAGTACCACCACGATCCTACTTTTTCTGGAGCGAAGTAGTCAGTAGTAGAGAGGTATGTACCATCGATTGTTCGACCTTATGTCTCAGTTGATAGTGACGGCAATGACATTCTGATGTTTATGAGCTCCGGTAACCACTTTACTTCAGTCGGGATGTGAGCTGATTTACCCATTCAAACAATAAATAAATATAATAAAAAAAGTATCCTAACTGTTACAATAACATCAAATTTAACACGAATGAATCGAATTCATATTAAATCTTACGATTTTATCATGATCATGATGTTTCATTCTTTAATATATACTGCATCAAATAAATTAAGTTGTGATAAAAATGTTTAAATTAAGCTTGGCACCTCAAAATATAAGTATTCAAGGCTTGACAAGGTCGATTGAATTGAAAAAGTTATCTATGTTTGACTACATATTAATTGCTTTCATTTGTAACAATGTTATGGGCACATTTACAGCATTTAAGTATCAAATGATAATAATATATCATGTACATAATACTCACAATAGTTTCCTCAGTTTTGTAAAATTACGAGACAAATTTATAACCTCTAAAGGAACCGCTTGGTATCAACCGTGAGAAAATAAGTCTATTAACTACGACCGAGATAGGGACGAATGAAATGGAACGTAAGAATAGGTACCGTACTCGGACTCTAGAGATACTATGATGGAATGATCGATAATTTATTTGACTCTTTGGGAATGATAATAGCATTATTCTTATAGGCAGTTCATGAATTCTGAATTACTTTTCGCATATTGTAATAATCTATGGTAATATAGGTAAAATCGTAAAACAGTAGGTAGGTACATACCTTTCAATAATGTACATCACGTATCGCATACAACACCCATTCACGCATCCCTTAGACCGTCCAGGTCAAGTCCAGTAAATTGACAGGATAATGTGCCACCTATGCTATATTTTAACCTGTCATGTATACTGAATGAATAATGAAGTCAAGACGACTTTTTGGCGGGAACGCGAGGAGTGAAATAGTGTGATTTGTTTTATTTTGTGTATTTAGTGTTTTTCGGGTTTAAATGTGTAATAACGGTGGTTTATTAACTGTTTAGTATCTGTGAAAGTGCACAAATGTGGGAAAATTAAACAAAGCCGCTGAACGTAACTTCTCGGGATCCTCCAAAAAGTCCACTGAAAAAGTTTCAATAAATGACCACCATTTTACTGAGATTATGTTTCGTCCCATAACATCTCATCTCATTTCGTTTAATTTCATGCCAATTGATTATGTTTCCTTCGTTTTTTATTATTCAAAAACTGGAAATAATTAAAACGGCAAATTATAAAAATCTTATTACTTGACGCTGGCTAATGCACAAACCGTGCCGTAGCCAAAAACTAAAGAAGAAGAAGAAGAATGAAGCCAAGAAGCCCTCTTCTCAGTATGGAAAATCAGTGTATGTGTAATCACAAAATTTAACAAATCGGTAAGATTTGCGCCAAGAAAATCCGGAACTGCTGTTGTCTAGTGTCAGTAATCGGCTCTACAAAATATCGGCTCGTCCGTGTAAGCTATAATCTATGCTAAAGTAACATAAACTTTTTGGCGGGAACGCAAGGAGTGAAGTATGTGATTTGTCTTATCCACTGAAGTAGGAAACCTATGGAAATGAAACGTCAACAAAAAATTCGTGCCACTGTGACGTCATCGACCACAAAACATGGCGGTTTTGGTGCTGTACAAAAGATTTCAATGTTATCAGGTTTTATCGATAAACGTTCTTGGCTCATTTTATTTTAAATATTGTTGAGTATTATATATTTGTAGAATTTATACTTTAATGGGAAGTAAGTAGGTATATTGTTATGTGCAAATATGACATGATTTAGATGTGTGCAATCTAAGACAAGTTCGTCCTTCGAATTTGCCAAGTAAACGATATGATGATTTTTAAAAGTTGCTACACTGATTTTATAAAGTTGTCGTTTGTCGCAAAACATAAAGCTAAGGCGTAGTACAGTGCCATCTGCCCATTTCTAGCATGCTAAATGTTATCGTATTTAGAGTATGTGTTTTTCTTAGACTATTACAATCTATTTTAATTGTTTTGCTGACTCACTTTCACTTGAGAGTGATTCAATTTTAAACTTATCAAGGAATCGCGTGAAAAAAAAAAACACCTACAGAACATTTATTCATTAATTACAAACGTCATTCTTTGTGACTCCCTCTCTAAAATCACTTAATTATTAAATATTTAACGAATTTACAATAGTGTTTTACTCACTGCGGAATAAAACTATTTTATTTAAATAGTTCCGAAGAGATTTCGTCGGTAGCCTTTTTCCCGAAAAAACTAAACAGAATGTCTAAATATGTTTTGATGACATATTTTAAAGAGGTATTTATGATTAGTGTCATGATCAATAGATTCCGACCGAAAAATGGAGTTCGATTTTTCGGATGAGGGCTCCATAATGAATTTAAATATATATAGATAATAGTTTTGGGGCATCGACTTTCTTGAGATCCTATAAAATACGTTTTAATTATTATTTTTGTATGTTTTAAGCATGATAAAATATGAAATTTTATAAAAGCAATCATATTAAATCGATATCAAAGTCAATAAATAATGTACAACCCAAAACAGACGGCCAAACTGACGTGACAATGACATTTGGTGCGCTCAACATGGCGGATTTTCGGCCTCATTAGACGGAGACGGAGACATTTACGTGTATTCATGTTTCATTTTATGTACGCACTGAAATACTGTTATATTGTTTTCCTGCGTGTTAAAGTGCTGAGTAAGAGCGAGATAGATATATGTTTATGTGTGTGCCTTCAAAATGGGTGCTATTTATATAAGCAATTGTACGTATAGAACAATATGTCGTGTCCCTACTATATAGGTATATGGTTTTATCTAATAATTTATCTAATAGTTTTGTCTAATAATGTTACTTTAGTTTTATATGTGTGACATCTGTGAAACTGCATAAATGTGAGAAAATGAAAGAAAGCCGCTGAACGTAACTTCCCGGTATCCGCCGAAAAGTCTACTGAAAAAATTTCAGTAAATGACCACCATTTTACTGAGATTATATGTCATCCTATATCATCACATCTCATTTTATTTAATTGCATCCCAGTTGATTAATGTCTCAAATTAATCGTCTTCATTTCATTTCACTCCATAATATCATTTTTCATAAAAATGAGAATATAAATTATGATACGACATGACTTAAAAACCTTAGTTACCAGGTCATAAAATCCCTTAAAAAAAGAACCAACTTATTGTTACACGCTTGTCACTATTTGTCAAGCTCAACATAATTTCATTCACATTTCGTTCAATTTCAATTCATTAAAATGCAAAAAAGTAGCATGTGAATATTTACTGCAATATTAATTGGAATTAAATGAATTAATTTAATTTAGTAATCTCGTTACCCTCCAATTCACATTTAACAATGACTTCGACGACATCGACAAACAGGGGAGATTCTTTTGACGAATTTTACACAGAGGTAAGCCATGTTCAAATTACAACGATGGAATCACCAAATGTTACATTTTAAATTATACAATACTTTTATTAAAACTGATAAAGCTGGTGTGACATGCTGAACGAAAGAACATGGTACATGATTGGTACACGTAGAGAGCTTAAATAACAAACAAAACAAATACAATTTGTTTCTCATACCCTTCATGCTTACTCTAAATCATGTTTATAAATTGTCATGCATAATTAATAATCGAAAAAAAAAGAAAACATTTTAATCAAGCATTTGACAAATTCTCAATGATGTTTCGTGAATTTCTGTTATTCATAGGTTAAAGAAATTGAAAAACGTGACTCCGTTTTGACACCTAAACAACAGATTGAGAGGCTCCTTCGTCCTGGATCCACTTATTTCAATTTAAACCCATTTGAGGTACTTCAGGTTGAGCCTGATGCTACACTTGATGAAATCAAAAAGAAATATAGGAGATTGTCAATTCTTGTCCATCCGGATAAGAATATGGTGAGAAAACATTTCAATAACCAAGATTAGTTAGTAGTATATAATTTGAAAACCCACAGTGAAGTTCTGAAATAACATTTGTACTCAAGACTTTTTTTAAATTTTTCTTAGTATTGCATTATTAGAATTTTTGAAATGATGAATGTTTTTTGGTAAGATCTCCACAAGATTAGGCGGTTACGCCCGTCAACTATTCATTTTCATCCACAGATTGGTTGAGACCCTGGGAACGCCCTGTGACTCCACTACATAGGTAATGTATGGAATGCAAAAGGGTTAAAATAAAAATAGTGTAATAGAGACAAAACGACCTGATTAAGATATAATATCTCAATTTACTCTATTATTTAGTGTATTGTTTTAATTTGCCTGAGAAACTTGAATAAAACATACAGAGCGACAGACTATTATAGCTTCTCAATATTTTTCTGTGTACTTCAAAACTATAAATATCGCAACATATTATGATTATACTTGTAATTAAATTCTGCAGACAGTTACCAATTTTTGGAATAAAACATGCATTTGACACATGTTTTTGAATAACGTCCTTAATGAATTATTCAATTTGATCATGAAATAAAAATGAACCTTGAAAAGATTGTAATTTTTGTAATTATTATACAATTGAGACAAAAAGCTCAAGGTGCGTAGCAACATTCACTCAGTCACATCTGTAAGCTGAAAGCTTGTTCACCGATTTATACTATAAATTAATCAAACACTTTCATTAGTCAAAAAAAAATTATCAAAAAATCTCTCACTGAATTCGCAAGTAAAATTGGTTAAATATATTTTTAACACTAATCAAATAAACATTAAAAATAGTAAATCGTAACCAAATACAAAACTATTCTAGCAGTAACAAAATTACGGAATTTTAAATTGCAGGATGACTCGGAGCGTGCTCAACAAGCTTTTGAAATAGTGAATCGAGCTTGGAAAACATTAGAAAATGATGACACAAGAAAAAAATGTCTGGATATCTATGAAGAGGCTAAGGAACGAACAGATCATATGGTGAGTGATTTGCTTTATCTAATTACCTGATAAAGGTGATCAAATAGAAATATTGTCTCTGCCAATGTTAAAATCCGATTACAGTACCTATGAAGCCCGTAGTTTCAGATCCTCCCAATCCAATATCACTGCCTTTAGGTACCTCAAGCACCGGTCACTGTCGCATTTTCATTCCGGTGGTAGATTCTTTGAAGCCCTGTTCTTGCTAGGGCTAGTGTTAGCAAATTCGCCAGGTTAGAGCCCTGTGAGGTCACCTACTCGCCTAGCGAATCTAGTTAAATGATTATAAATGAATATATTTATAAAATTTTAACTCTTTTTTACTTTTATACTATCATGAAACAAGGTATCATTTTGTTGTAATTATTTGAATTAAAAAATTCAAGGCTAGGCTTAAAAATATTAATCTCACTTGATGATGGGAATGGAAAACCAAAATCATGTAACATAGTTTTTACTGGTGGTAGGTCCTCTTGTGAGTCTGCGCGGGTGGGTACCACCACCCTGCCTATTTCTGCCGTGAAGCAGTAATGCTTTTCGGTTTGAAGGGTGGGGAAGCCGTTGTAACTATACTTGAGACCTTAGAACTTATATCTCAAGGTGGGTGGCGCATTTACGTTGTGGATGTCTATGTGCTCCAGTAACCACTTCAGACCAGGTGGGCTGTGAGATCGTCCACCCATCTAAGCAATAAAAAAAAAAAAACTATGGGCTCCAGTAACCACTTAACATCAGGTGGGCTGTGAGCTCGTCCACTCATCTAAGCAATAAAAAAAAAATTATGTTACATATCATTTCACAACAATGACCAGTCAACATAAGTTAAACACTGATTTGTACTTATAAAATTGTATTTACACTGCTTATTTATAATTTCAGATAGAACAGAAACGGAAAAAGCTGAAAAAGGAAAACCGCTTAATAGAAACCATTCCTGAAGATGATCCGGAGAAAAAAAAACATGCCGTATATGTTATGACCATGAAAGTATGTATTGTGTAGTGCTGTTTAATTTAATAAAACTACATTTAATTCAAATGAATTTAAAGATAAATCATGTGTATCGGAATCAGATCCTCATGAGTCGCATTGAGTACATTACTTTATGTATCACCAATAGCTATTGAAACATACACCATTATGAATGACTAAGTGAAATTATGATACCTTTGTTTATACAATTATACAGTAAATTTATTTATTTATTAATATTAATCCTAATTTTTTTCCTGTTAGCTTTAGCTTTCAATGACTAAAATAATTTTTAAAACAGGTTTAATGTTTTTTTAGTTTGTCTATTACAAACAAACTTTCAAAAAAGCAAATATGTTATCACTATAAAATATAAGTGATGCCCCTGGTATGTTTATTGTAATATTTTTTATACCAAAACACATATTCTGATCACACAAGGCGTTTAGTATCAAGCACGCGAGAGCATTGAGATAGTTGTGAAATATATACTACCATATACTTATAAATTACTGCTCTCTTAAAAATAGTTTTATTCACATATTTGAAAAAAATAGAATCTGTTTTAGAGTGTAAGAAATGTTAACAAAGTTTGTAAAACATTCGATACAAAATTTGTATGATATATTTCAGTTATTTGCAGACATGGAAAGGAAGCGTCAGCATCTTGAAGTAAGAGACATGGAGGAAAGGAAACGAAAACGTGAGGCTGAAATTGAACAGGAGACTCAAGTGTCCTTAGAGAAAGAATGGGCAAAGAATTTTGAGGTAGCTATTATTTGAATTTCTGTAGAGCGTCGTAAAGGAGAAACCCCATTCTGGGCCTAAACGTTACACGAATGGGATATGTACCAATTAATTCGTCTATTTTGCTTGATTAACCTATTGAAATCTTAGCTTCTTTGACAATGGCCAAGTGTAGAAAATAAGTTGAATTCTATTTTTTGTTTTAAACAATCTTTGTACACATCTGCAACACTTATTTCAATATACGTAACTAGCTCCACAAACGTGCGGATTAGAATTAGAGTATCCCTAAAATAGGATCGATTTAGTGGAAATCGAGTGTAAAAAATAATTAATACTCTTTTGTTTTAGGATAAATGACTGTTTTTATAGGTATTTTAATCAATGTAAATAGAGTATGGCCATCGAATCCTGACACAACTACTTACAATGGCGGCAATTCAAAATATTTACAACTGACAACATTAAATATAGCATGAAAGGGTAGTTTTGCATTTTTATATTAATGTGACTATGCCATAGAAAAACACAAATGTATCAAATTGTGTTATGTTATCTTTAATGTTGCCAACTGAAGATATTTTGGATTGCCGCTATTTAGTTGTGCCATGATTCGCTGGCCAGACTATAAACTTAATCTCATTGAATAACGTAACGTAAAGCACCAAAATCTACTAACAAAAATCATTAAATATAATAAATAACTGTGCCATTTAGTTATGACACGAAATCATGTCGGCAGCTGCGGCAATTCAAAATATTTTCAACTGGCAATATTCAATATAATATGAAAAACCCAGTTTGGTACTATTGAGTTTTTCTATGGTGTAGTTACATTAATAATTTTACTGGTGGTAGGACCTCTTGTGAGTCCGCGCCTCCCGCCTGCCTATTTCTGTCGTGAAGCATTAATGCGTTTCGGTTTGAAGGGCGGGGCAGCAATTGTAACTATACTGAGACCTTAGAACTTATATCTCAAGGTGGGTGGCGCATTTACTTCGTAGATGTCTATGGGCTCCAGTAACCACTTAACACCAGGTGGGCTTTGAGCTCGTCCAACCATCTAAGCAATTAAAAAAAAGGCATGAAATAAAATGAAATGAAATGAGATGAGATAATATGGGGGCACGTAATGATTATATTTTATATAACAAGTTATCATATAAATATCGTTTTTCATATAAAAAAGTTTTCATTAAAATTAAAATAAGACTGACCTAAAGGTCTTAGTTACCAGGTCATAAAAACCCTTAAAAAAATATAATATATGACGGAGGAGAAACGCTGAAGGAATGTTTTTAAAAAGTGTGACGTCAGCATTGCTGACGTCAGCATTGCTGACGTCACGGTCTTTAAGTTCTCGACGATGACTCATGTTTGGGCTTCCGAAACAAAACTTCACGAGAACTTCTCGAGAACTGCGTATATTGGACGAGAAGCATAACAACGTTACAGAGAGATCCGTACTGTACTACGGCTCGGACACGAATGACTAAACGCTAGACAGCACGGCCGTATTTATAGGACTTCGTACACGTCAGCGTGTTTACAAGTATTAAACACGTGAGCGTGTTTACAAGATTTTAAAGTATTGAAATTACAATAAAAGGGACTGTTTAACATCAATTTCTTATCACAGNACGCTAGACAGCACGGCCGTATTTATAGGACTTCGTACACGTCAGCGTGTTTACAAGTATTAAACACGTGAGCGTGTTTACAAGATTTTAAAGTATTGAAATTACAATAAAAGGGACTGTTTAACATCAATTTCTTATCACAGAGTAATTAGTTGATGATCAGTAGGTAAATAGTCATATTTGCGCCGACATATATAAAAATTTTTGGCTTTTGTTCGTTTTCGTAAACAATCTAATGCGCGATTTCTCGGAACAGGTCCCAGGTTTTTTACGTAACAGGTTTCGTAAAAAATTACTCATATTTATTAGGAAACAGCCTCAAAAATATCGTTTTTTGTTAAAATATCTCGAACAATAAACATAACCTAAAATGTAAACTGGGAAACATTGCTGGGAGACCTGAAAATTGGGCTCATGAAACCTTCTTAGGTATTGTAATTTATGCCCAAATTCTAGCGCTGTAACGCCAGGCCCAAGTTTGTATGGATTTCGGGTTTCTCCTTTCTCATCTTGTTTATTGCAAAGCCTAACTATCTGAAAAATCGGAAAAAAATCCCAAATTCTCATAATATCTAAATGATCATGTTTATAACAATAAAACCACACATGTAAGATACATTATACATGATAAGATGCATTATGAAATATAAGACATGTTTTTTTTTTAATTGAGTCTGCAGATATCTATTTAAGCTACGTAATAATAACGATGATGAATACAATCTGTTATTTAATGGGTTCTTACAAGATTTTCACTAGGAGATTTTTAATATCTACTTTCTAGTCAGTTTTGGGTGATACCATCGAAATTTGAAGACTCGCCCTGACAATATACACATCTTACTCGCAATCTACTTGCGACACCCGATATATTTTGTAGAAATGTGGAAATCTTAGTAAGAACGCATTAAAAGACAGTATGTATAACATACGCAGATAGCTGCCAAAATTTAAAACTGTTTTTAGATGAGTATGTAATAATTATAACAATAAAAATAATATTAGACACATCGATATTCTTGTAACAATAATTAGTTGATGTTTGAATTGTTTCAGGAATCTCGACAGAGTCGCGTCGAGAGCTGGAAGACCTTCCAGTCCACGAGTAAAGATAAAAAGAAAAAGAAAATACAATCGTTCAAACCTCCTAAACCGAAACCAGAGAGCAGATAATTATAGTAATAGAATTAAACGTTTTCTAAGATAGAATTATATGTTGAAATTGATGCCTTCAAAAACGAATCTTCTGTCCTTTTAAATATTGATTAGTTTTGTTAGTGCAGTCTTGTACGGGGACTTTTCTTAAATACTTTATCATCATCGAGCTTCATACTGGTGACATAATATGTTCATTGAATATATTAAACCGGAATGACACGACACAGGTGGTTTAAGAGAAGTTTGGATTTGTTTTTTTTTTTTAAATCGTAGTAGCACATCACCACCCACCTTGAGGCATGAATTTGAAATCTCATTTGCATAGTATAACAGTTATCTCAGCCTCCAAACTTATACGCAATAAATTCGTTTCCCTTTCGTTTAATGTTATTGCACACTATTTTATTCATTTATAATGGGAACGCTTTGATACTTAGTACAAGTTTGTCAAAGTTACCGACCACCAGCTCTCTCGGTCGGCAGGCTATCCGAAGCCCGCCTAGATGGCGCCGGTTAGAGTGTGCTATGTGGGTCGAGGATAGCCGGCCTTCCATCACCCGGATGCTCTTGCGTAAAACGCGTGCACTTAGAGGGCCAGGGCTTGGGCGAGATCCGCCTCCCTAGCCCCCGCTCGACGGCGGCGGGATTGTGCGTCTCTCACGTGCCCCGCTGCCTCTGCGCGATAAAGTTACTGGTGGTAGCATGTTTTGTAAGGGAAGATATACCGAACTGCCTAGCTATCGGGAAGCAGCCATCCATGCAGTAGGAAAGTGGTTAAACATTATTCACCCTGCATTGTCTATGGTCGATAACGACTTAGCTATCAGGTGGCATAGACTTCAGTCCCCGTAGCTATATTAAAAAAACTAGCCTAGTATAGACCCTACTATAGCAGGGTGGTGTAGAGAGTCCTGTGGTAGGCGCATTACTTATTGCCAAAATAACAAAATTGATAATAATATTACCTACAGATATAAACACATACACGGTATACACATATATATATATCATAACATACAACAACGTACACAATATTATATCATGATAATAATATAAAATTTACACATACATTTATAAGTATATAATCCCATACATATTTACTGGTGGTAGGACCTCTTGTAAGTCCGCACGGGTAGGTACCACCACCCTGCCTATTTCTGCCGTGAAGCAGTCATTTACATTGTAAATGTCTATGGGCTCCAGTAACCACTTAACACCAGGTGGACTGTGAGCTCGGTCACCCATATATGCAATAAAAAAATTAATAAAAAAAGATATATAATCATGTACATACATACTCAATACTCATACACAACATAAACATTTCCATAAAGCAATTGGCTATTTACTCCTTTGCCTATTTAAACAGATAATAATCTCCCTGACATTGAATGACTACTTCTATACTATCTTCCTTTGGCCACTCTCGTGTCTTCGGTGCGTATTAGATGATAAAATAATGAATCGAAACTGTAATACAAAATTGAATTTTAATTGTTTTCAGAAATTTATATTATCTTGATCGGTTATATTTTATGTATTTCGATTAGTCTGCCAAGATCCATGGTTTTATGTTCAAAAGTAAATGCTAGATTATGTACCTCTGCTAGATAACTTAGTTTATTTTTAACGAATGGCACAAATGTCTGTTCTAGTATGCTAAGTGCGAGGAATAATACACCAACGTCGTTCTCAAACCAAGATTTCTGAATTTAATTACACTAGTATAACCGAACAATTGTTTGTAAAATAGATAATGTTTCACATATCGTCTTTACGCATTAAAAGTGTACAATTTCCAAAAATATTCGAAATTGAGTTAATATCGGAATCATTTGGTATCGTCAGTATTTCTCTCATAAATACTGTCAAAAGAGCGTAGTTTAGTTTTTTTTTTTTTAATTTACTTATGTTTTGACTACTATTAACAAAATCTATACATATTTTTATCTTAATTTAAAAGAGAGATAATGTAACTGGTAAAAAAAAAAAATTTTACAAAGATGATTAATATTAAAAATATCACATGTTTTAAACCTTTAAAACACTCTCCTGTAAAATTAGTAACTTTTGAGATTATACAGTTTTAATGCAAGAAGACGATATTGGTTTTATGATGATATGCCTTGTACTCGCTGTGGTTTTGGAGAGGGTTCCAAATTGTTTTTTTTTTTTTTTTAATAATCGCACGATTATTCCTAAGTATTTGGACCATTTTATTTAAAGAGTTTTCATTGTCGAGAAAATCTCTGTACCAATTACTAAAGAAACTATATTTGAAGAAAACCTTATAGCGTTACAGAAACAGCGCGAGACGTTAATTCGTAATAGTTTGATAGAACATGAAGTTTTTAGTTATTTATCTGAAAACGTTTTCTCTCTGACTAAATTAGACTAAAGGTTCTAGAATAAAATTTCCAGTATCGATTGGTGAAGGAGTAACAGATGCTGTCGTCTCGAATAGTTCTTCGGAGCACGAGGTTTGAGAAGCACTGTCTATACGCATGTGTGGTAGCAGTTAACAGTAAATAGTTTCTATTTACACTAAATTAGAATGCTTTATTTGAAAAACAGTTTAATCTTGCGTTTATTTTAGTACATTGTTTTTGTATGATTTAAAAGTTTGAACGATTATACGTCATGATCGAAGCTAAGTTTTTGAAATAACAAAAAAGTCTAAATAAATCGTATAAATGTTTAAAGATTACGTTTTACTTGTGGTCGGGTCTTCACATGAGCACCCTGACCATTTCTGCCCTGAAGCAGTAATCCGTTTCGGTTTGAAGGGTGGGGCAGCAGTGAAAAACTTATACTTAGAACTCATGTTTCAAGGTGGGTGACGAAATTAACGTGGTTGATTTGTATGGATGCCGGTGATCAGTTAACACCAGGAGGGCCGTTAGCTCGTCCACCCATCTTATTAAAAATAAAAATAAATGAAACCGTTCGCTAAAGTCACTGAAAAATATCTAAATATGAAGAAAAAAAATGTGTAGGTGGTACTTTTAGATTTTTTTATCAGTAACCATTCTGAAACTCGTTCAAGTAGAAACATCCAATAGCTTTTTACAGCAATTAGCTTTACTTACGATGTCGTTTCTAAAGTCTGTTGAATTAATAATTTGGAATAATTTATTAAAAAATGTTACGATTCTGAATTTCAAAACTAAAATAGTTCTCTTTAAGAATACATAGATAAACCATTATATAGAAATAAACATTGTGCTTTGTTTTATTTTAACCAAACTAACACTCGCAGACACGTGCCAATTCCATTATTCTCTGTAATTCTCTGTAAGCTATTTAATTTCCCTATATTACAAATAATTTACTGTTAAGATAGTCTGAACGTATAATTGCATAAAATTTCGAATAACAATAACTCCTCCAGATTAATCCTACTAGCGTACCTACTTATTAACATTAAATCGAAAGTTATCTAAAAGTTAATTAAGTCTAGATAATCAAATCATTCAATATCAATTAAGTCATTCGTGCGAAATATAAACATGTAAGCTTTCTATTACAAACATAGTAGACAATTTGAATTAAATTTAATAAATTTGTTTCATAATGATAGCAGTTCTTGCCTAAAGTTGATCGTGATAGATCATTACCTTGTACGAAAATATTACATCTATACCATAGACCTATATAGTAGGGACACGACATATTGTTCTATACGTACAATTGCTTATATAAATAGCACCCATTTTGAAGGCACACACATAAACATATATCTATCTCGTTCTTACTCAGCACTTTAACTCGCAGGAAAACAATATAACAGTATTTCAGTGCGTACATAAAATGAAACATGAATATACGTAAATGTCTCCGTCTCCGTCNAAACGCGATTTTTTATAAGTTAGCAGCTATTATCATGCATATTCAGAGTTGTTTTGTGAACTTTCAACATTCTACTATTAAACTACAAAAAAATGGAAGATTTTGCAACGAATATAAAACTTATATTGAGCGTCGAAAGATTTTCCCGGTTTTTTCCCGATTCGCCTTTCAATCCCTAATCGCCCCATTTTACCGGTACCAATTAATTGCTCCTTCAGGATTTATATTTGTTTTTTTTTTTCACGATTAAAACCGTGTAGAAAGTTATGGCATTATAGTTGACACATGCGCATACACATATTTTGCATACATTTAATCAACTAATACAAATAGTAAATTAAACAAAAAACGAGTAATTTCGAAAGAGAACAAACTTGTTTTGTATAAGAACAATCGAAAATGAATATTTACGAGTCATTAAGGACGAAAAAATATAAAAAATTGCAATCGAGGGGCTAACTTGTACATATATTTATAATAATTTTTTTAAAATAAATAAATGCAGAACAAACAATTATTAACAGTGAACAATCAAGAACAAATGATGAACAAACGAATTAATAGAAAATAAGTAGAAAATAGGAAAGAAAAATATTTTTGAGGGGCTAACTTCAGTCACCTAAGTACCTGGGCCAGGAATTATTGAATTAATCCCACATAGTAATATCTATATTAAAGTTCATAGATTAGCCTATTGTAAACGTGTAGCAAGAGATTGTGAAACATTAGCACGAATGCTATTAACGGAAATCTTTTCTATAAGTGCCTTGAGTGTGTGCTCACTAACTGGTGCAAGAGCCAAAGCTTTTGATCTTGATGGCTCAGATGTAAGACCTGGGTTAGATGAGCACGCAAGATCGGTATTATAAATCTTCGTTGAAGAATATGGAATCAAAAATCGTTGGCGTGTGTTTGATACACAATCTATTTTGAATAGTATACGTAGTAAAATTCAAGAAATAAGATCAAAGTATGGTTTCATAGTTCAATAATAAACGTATTATTATTATTTTTTTGCTAACTTAATGTACTTAAATAATTATTCACTACGATTGTTAAAGGACTTTATTATCATTGATGTTATTCCTACAAGTATAAAATAACTTAAAAAATTGTTTGTAGACTTGAGGTATTTTTTAGATTTAGTCAACATTATTGACTTTAGTTTAAGTTTGTTAACTGAAAAAACATTATGAATATGAATTTTAAATATTATATTTAGTCAATTCATTAGTAC